ACCGCTCTTTCCAAAAGAAGTTCTGTAGTAATTTTTGACATTTTTAATCTCCACCCCTCTGCTGGAATCACTAATCAGTCAGCTGTAGGATCTCTTCTCGTAACCTTCCCGGTAAAACAAACAGGAATAAGTGGAATTCTTTTCAACTGATGCCAAAAGGGGGGAAAAAAAAGTTACGAGGTTAGCTACTGATTTTGCTGTTGTGTTTGAAGTCGCCTTTTTTACACCGCTGAAATGAAAATACTAGAGATTGTTATTACACTGGGCACACGTTCCCAACATGCTGACCCAACCCGTCTCCAAAACAACAGCGATGCCTCCCTTGGCCATCAAAGTGACGGACGTGCTGTAGGTGAAAGCTGTCCGTGAGGTGACAGCACTCGGGACTGGGACAGTCTCGCAGTTACCTGTTTGTACCTCTCCCGAGCAACAGGGCTCTGCTCCAAGAACTCCAACATGCTTTCAAATAAACAGCGACAGTAAGAATAAATACACCTGTTATGAGTGTCTTCCTCCCAAGGAAACGACACAGTGCGCTCACTGGCCTGACCAGATGGATAGATTCTTGGCTGACAACTTCTAAATCCCCTAAAATTTTGGAAAACTGAATCAATTACCAGAAATGTAAACATCCACTGGTCAATAACATCGTTTCCTCACTGAGGAAAAAAGTCAACAGCATTCTGTATGTTATTGGTAATTAACAGATGTTTTCATGCATCGTTGTGGATAGGATAGTACACAAAGATACACTGATATTTAGAATAACAACACTGGTGGGGCCAAAGTAGCTTCATGAAATTACTGGTTCGTGGCTTACCGCTCTTTCTGACACAGATTCTAAGAGAGGGAAATAAAAGAGAACTGAGCTCCAAGGCCAGGCTCGCTACTGTCTTGCTGTGTTAGTCTCACCGCTGCCTAAATACCACTCCAGCAAATGGCAAGGAACAGATGAGGCACTAAGCTGTCCTTAGGCTCAACTTCAGCACCTTAACATGCCACCAGCGCCTGGACCATCGGGGTCTGATGAGCAACAGGGCATTGCTTTGTTAACACCTGTAAGAAAGGGCAACCCTTCATGTAGGGAATATTTTATACCAGCATAAAGAGCTCTGAGCCTGAAAACCAGCTTGAACAGCAGCTGTTCAGGCTCTGATCCCTC